GTTTGCGGCTAAAGGGTCCATCACAATATGTAAATGAAACAATGAATAAATTACTCTGCACTTTACAGGGTCTATCCAGTTTTATCCCGTGGTTTATCTGGTTAACCGATATGGGAAAGATTACCTCCGGATGACTGAAGTCGTTTTTTATGAAAATGTGAGAAGTGGATCGTGGTGGTTTTTTTTTCGAATAGCTGTTATTGCGACAAAGCAGTGTCTTCATTTGAGGAAGTGGTGTTCTACTCCGTTCTATATGATGATTTTTCTTGTTTTTTTTTTTTTTTCAACACTGTCTTATCGCTTCTGAGTATCTACACTTCTCACTGGAAAAATGTGGTGTGTCCTTGTGAAAAACTTATATTCCACACAGTCTACGCAAGGAACAAATTTACCTTAAAACTGCTTCTAAGTTTCAAATTTTTTATTTTGATTTTCTTTAAAATTAGGACTGTTTGGCTTGCTTATTAGCATTTTCGGCTAGACTTTTTCCAACCCAAATAGAATCTTAAAATTTATTCAATCATTTGGCTGAAAAAAAAAGGCAGTAATCTTTTGATACAGTCAAAATACATTTGTTGGAAGAAAGAGAAACCAATAAAAAAACGGGTAATTGACTTGTCAAATTGTAAGTGATTATTGAAATTTTTTGCCAATTCGGGACTGAAGATAACTTCTACGTAGACTTACATAAAATACAATGTGAATTTTATGGCTTTCTTGCAGCAAGAAACTAGATTCTGAAGTTGCTAGATAAGTCTGAAAGCACTTCTCGGCTAGTTTGACCACTTTGCTAAAATTGTATGCATTACAGCCCTTTTGACGTGAAAAATCGGTTACGGGGGGTCGATACGTCCTAAAAATTGTTCAGTCACCGTTCGACAACAATTCCTTATACCAATTTTATTCGGTAGACAGAAGCGCTGATAAGTTCTGCCATCTTAACGAGAGCAACTTTTCTAATAAATTTTCTGAATGGCACTACATTTTTTGAGCAGTGTTTTGGAAAAATTTTTTTGAAATAAAAATTTTTTGGATACAACGACAGATTATCATGGTCTTTTGAACTTGAGACCTAATTAGTTTTTTAGGGGAACAAACGCTTAACCAATGCAATAACTACAGCCAATTATCAAATAAATCCAGTGAATTCAGATATCATAAATGTTGCTCCACTTACAGGCAATAGTGATATAAAAGCTGTTGTTTGAGTTTAAAGCCTGTTCACAGAATAGAAATTATGTTTGCTTTAACTACTTCCAGTTTATTTGATCAACTTTAATTTTTTTTTTTTTGTTAAAAGAAAAAGAAAAACAACATTATAGCTTAACGGCATTATTTTTGCTGCTTTTACAACAGCCATTTAAAAGAAACCAGCTTTTTAGTATAAATGCGTCTGTCCAGCGGATCTTATCAATCGGTATCACTCTTTCAATTTTTAAATTTTCCACCCATTAAGTTTAACAGCAGTTTAGTATCAACTAATGTGTGACGAGTTTATCGGAGATCCATTATCCAGGATACTACACTGCCAATAGCTTAAAGAAGGTGCAAGACAAAAAAAATTTTATTCTTTATTGTTTCTGTATTATTTGTTGGTCATATAAAGCAACTTGTTACTGTACCTAACTCTAGCCAGCTGAATATGATTATACATATACCATTGAAATCTTATTGTTGCTATTTTTCATGTAAAAAGAAAAAAACAAAAATGCTGTAATTGCTTATGACAGATCCAAAAAAAAACTTATTCAATATTGGTTACTTTTGTTTCGCTACACAATAAACTTATAAATGACAACTGATTGTAACTGAATGTGAAATAAAGGCTTATTTTTTATTTATTTGATCAACAAAGATTTAAGGAGTACTCGAAAAAAGCTCAGATACAGTAGAACTGTCAACAGAATTAGATAACTAAAAATTAAAAAAAAAAAAAAAA